TTTATATTACTTTATTTTAATTTTATTAAATATATATATATATATATATATATGTGTGTTTTGTTTTTAATTTAAAAAAAATATTCAGCCCGTACCAGGCCCAAGTGATACTGAACCTAGTATGTTACTGAAGGAGAGTGTTATGAAGACGGTAAGAGGCTCAACTTTTGTGGATATGTGGAAAGATACCGGCTAATCCTTGACTTGTTCGTAGTTAATACTATTGAATGTTGGCTTTTTTCTGAAAAATTTCTAAAAAAAAGAAAAAGAAAGGAAAAACAACACTCAATAACATTAACTACGAACAAGGCCACAATCTGCTGACCGTGTTTAGGAAATAAAACATCTTTACAACTCTAGATACATACACACAATCCATACATTCAGTTAAAAAGTAAAAATGAAATAATCCTTACCGTATTAACCTCAGTGTTCATTGTGTAACCAAAAGCGCTTGGAAATACAGAGCATTTAGACAATTTTTACTCACTTTTTTACTCAGTTTTCCTATACTTTTTCGTTAACCTAATAAATATTTATCAGCGTCTCTTGAATTTTCAGAGTTTGAAAACCTAACATAATTGTTGCAAAATAAAACCCTTACATTTGTTTTTGTATAGTCAATCAAAAGACAAAACGCGTCGCCTAAGATAAATTTTCCTTTAGTCTTTTTACACACACACACACACAAACACACACACACATATATATATATATATATATATATCTTACTGCTCTAAACTTTAGTTTGTGGGTACCCTTGTTTCAGTAGAGGCCCTGATTTTTTAAACTGTAAATTCTGTCTACCCGCCTGCTATGCATTTAACAGACATAATAAAGAACGTTATTCATGCTTTTTGTTAATAATAATAATAATAATAATAATAATAGTAATAATAATAATAATAATAATAATAATAATAATAGTAATAATAATGATAATAAACAGGCTGTCTGCTGAAATATAGGTATCTATAAAATAACGTAGGAGGAATAGAAAATACATTGATTCCTTATATATATATATATATATATATATATATATATATATATATATATATATTGCTAATTGCATGTAGGCATATACGTGCATGTGTTTTATTACAGGTTATTCGTTTTTTAAATCATTGGTAGATATATTAGTATGTAACTTTAAATATATATATCTATCATTTTATGAAAGTGCTGTCGTGTTATTTATACTAAAACAAAGAATAGATGACATTTTGTTTCGTTGCTATGATATATATATATATATGCTCAGAATAACATTGAAAAAAAAATAAAATAAAAGTCTTACCTGGACAAAAATATTATAATAAAAATCTGACATTATTTTTGTTTTTTTGTTTGTTTTGCTGATGAAATTACAAGTACTGATATAATCACTGGAACTACATGCAGTGAACGAATGAGGCTATGCCAGCAGATACTTCAAAAGTTTGTTTGTATATCCAAAATTGGGAGATGGTCGGTCGGTCGGGTGTGGTAGGAAAGACTGTATGGAAGCACTGACAACAAACATATATAAAGAATTAGTTGCCTAGCAACCCATCAAGTCTATGTTTATTTTTATGCTTTTTTTTTAAAACCGTTTTTTTTTTCAATTTTATTTTTTTACTTCAAAGAAAAAAGATTTTTAAAAGAAAAATCTTTTTTGTTTTTTTTTTCACTTGTATAATATATATATTCATATATAATTTTTTTTCTATTGAATTCTACAAATATCGGAGTGGGGAGAATATGAAATAATAATAATAATAATAATAATAATAATAATAATAATAATAATAATAATAATAATAACACGTTGGAAAGTTTTGGTTGTAAGACTTTTGTAACAGAGGAATTCGTAGGGTAATATTTTTTAGGAAATTAATTTCAAAGGAATAAACGAAAGAGGGGGTAGCTTTTTTTAATTAAAAAAAAAAATAAAATAAAAAATAAAAAAACCCAAATTAAATTTCGAAATTTTTTTCCACACACAATAGGAAAAGTTGTGGAGAAGCATTTGAAAGAAGGCTAGTTTTTTTCTTCTTTCGTCTTTTTTTTTTCTTTCTCCATTGTTCGTTTCAAGTCCGTATTTTTTATGCACATTATTATTTTGCAATCAATCATTTATATATATATATTTTAAAATCTTCCCCATCCTTGGGGGGCCTCATCGCGTTTCACGTTTTAGGCAAAAAGAAAAAAAAAATGTCCGTGTTCGCCTATAGTGACATTCAGGTTTTTTTTTTTTAAAAAAAAACCTTTTAAAAATAATAGTAGAAAATAACGATAATTAAAATATCTCTATAAAAGTTTTCAGTAAACATGAAGAGAAGAAATAATAATAATAATAATAATAATAATAATAATAATAATAATAATAATTTGACAACTTAGTCAAAACAGTGAAGAAAAAAGTAGAAATAACAGGGTAAGTTGTAAAAACAACAACGTAAACAAGCATTAAATGAAACGAAATCACAATGCCAAAAAAATGGCGGCATCGTATTAACATCATATCATTTCAATATTTTTTCTCTCTTAAAGCATCTGCAAATGTCACTGTTTTTGGTATGTTTGTTGTTCCCCTTCACAGGGAGAGCGAATAGTCCTGACGGTTTTCTGTCGCGCCGGTTTATCCATTCGGGGGCCGGTTTGATTCGTGTCGGTTTCTCTCCCCACTGTTGGCTTGTGTCCAAGGATCTCCAAAATGGCGTCAACTGTGTTGCAAAGTTCATTTTCGAAATTGTGCATCCGTCTGAATTTGGAGGCAGACGAGAAGATGAAGAGAATAAAAAAAAATAAAAATGTCGAGAAGAAAAAGAAAAGAAGAAAATAGTAAGTGATATATCGTTAAATATAACAACAATATCTGTAACATATGTTAGAATGGCTTTTAAAAAAAATGAACCTTTTTGAAAAGTATATTATTTACATAATATATACAAATTTATTCAAAACCAGACGATATAAGAGCAAGGAATGCGAAAAAAAAATCTAATATTTATTTTATTATAAAAAGAAAAAAAAATCTCTCGTCTTTCACCTGATACTTATTCTCGGTCATCAGCAGAGCAAATTCCAATTAGCTTTTTAAAAGTGTTTAATGTCGGATCTAAGCAGCCTTCCCTGTGAGGGCGGTGAGAGTGATTGCTGGGATTTGGTGTGGCTCAACGGTGGAACATACAACGGGTCGTCTGGAGGTATTTTTTAGCCGTTTGATTTTAATCTTTCTGCACATGTATATTTTGTCCTCGGTTGAGCTCTAAAGAGCGAGGAACGGTAACCGGTTAACTACATTTTTTTTATGTTTTCTTTATATATTTTTGATTAATCAATTTGTAGTGGGTAATATTTTTATTTTTATTTTCCTTGCTTTTCTTCCCCTGGCTTTGATGTAATTGTATATTTTAAAAAATGTTCATTTTTAAATCTATAACAAAAAATTGCACCAGCAACAAATTTAAACATTAGAAAAAAGAAAAGATACATTTATGTTACAAAATGGGATTAGCATTGACATATTTCAATAAGATAGAAAGTAAAAAATAAATAAAAATATAAAGAAATTAAGAAAAAAGACACAGAGGGAAAATAATAACCAATTTCATAATCTCATTAGAATATATAACTGCACGTTTATCAGCCATATTACGTCTGTAAGACGTAGATTTAAGCCTGACAAGTAAAATCCCGGGTTTAAAATGCAATTTTATAGTAAAATCATTTATTAGTGTCCTTTTAGCAAATATATGATGGAAGGCCTTCCGACGTTAGCATAGAAAATTATACAACCATTTATAATGACGAAAATAACTACAGTTACAATCTAACGTAAAGAAAAAAAGAAACAGTGAAGAAAGGTAAAAAAAAGAAACATATAAAATATATTAAGTTATGAAAAGTCCGACAAATATTTTAAGACATTTTATATGCTTATACATTCTCCTTATAGATACAAATATTTAAGTAAATGCTCTGTTTTATAATAAACAGTATTAAACAACATTTACCCGCCTGAATGTCCTAGTAAACAAATGACGTCACACATTATGAAATGGACAAAGACCGACAATTACTTTTATTTTTTTTATATGTTTGTCCATTTCATAATGTGTGACGTCATTTGTTTACATTTGGATACGCCATGAGCAGATATGAATGTACGTGAGAGAATCATGAAAGATTATCGTTTAAAGACAGTAAATTCGACCTTGCTAGCCGAACGCTCCTCTGTAGCAAAATCGGTTTAAGGCACGTCAGGCTATATGACGGTTCCGTATAGGATACAGGTTCGATTCCTGTCGGAGGACGCATATTTTCTATGAAAATTTCTCGGACATTCGGGCCGGTAAATGTTGTTTAATACTGTTTATCATAAACAGAGCATTTACTTAAATATTTGTATCTATAAAAAGAATGTATAAACATAAAAATATCTTAAAATAAATGAATCTAGATATACGTCTTCTAATTTGTTTGGGAATAACAACAGCGCTGAATGTCCGAGAAATTTTCATAGAAAATATGCGTCCTCCGACAGGAATCGAACCTGTATCGAACAGACTGTCGCCGCTTGGTGTTGACCTCAGTGTCTAATTATACGTACATAATTACATATTATAGTGCAGTATACTATAGTAGTATAACTGGCTACTCGTATTCGAGGAGACCAGTCTACTAGGGCGGTTAGCCAATTCCTATTGCAGACGCTTGCTCAGGCGCATTTGTGTTTTTTCAACACCCATACAACCCAGCTGTGGTTTATATTGCAATTGTGCTGAGAAGACCTTAGTTACAGAGCGTGTTATCTAGCGTGATCAACAGTTTGAACAAAGCCAGCACACTCAAGCCCTCGGCCATGATGACCTGTGACTTGGTGCTAGCACAGCTATCGACGGCCCCTAAGGGTTCCAGCTTGGGTCAACCCGCTTTCCAAAGGTGCCGCACAGTGGGATCGAACCCTCCAGTTCGATAACATCAAGAAGTCGCTTTCCTGACAAATCAATCATGGTGAAATTCAGACCCAGGTCCCATGATCAGAATGCAAACGTTCTAACCACGGTGTCAGTTGCCCATAAATATATATATATATATATATATATATATATATATATACACACACACATATATATATATATATATATATATATATATATATATATATATATATATATATATATATAACGATACGCTAGATTTAGTTATTTCTCTCTATCGAATGATTGTTTGGGTTTCGATCCGGGCTTGAAGTATTCGGATGTCTAGTCACACTGAGGAGCTGTGATACAGCGAAACAGTACTGTCTGCGAATTATATATATATATATATATATATATATATATTGTTGTGGTACGATCCATCTAATTTACATAGTGGAGTACCGACCATATAAATATGGTTGGTACCGGGAAGACAGGGGAGGAAAAGAAGATCCAATCCAGAGACTCTGTCCGACTGCGACTAAGTCAACCCATTCTACAGGAACGGTCTTCCCAAGAATATAACAAATTATCTGTAACTATTATGTGTACACGTTCTTGTGTCAATACATTTTGTTTAAGTACATTTTGTGTTGTATTATTATTATTCCATGCTTTACTCAAGTTTCAACATATATATATATATATATATATATATATATATATATATATACTTTATTATAGGATATTGCATCAAAACATGTGAATAACGCTACACAAATTCAATCTTGTATTATCACATCTCATCAGACGTTGGTAAATAACTGTTGAATATAATTTATAGAGAGTTAAAGTTACTTGCAACCTCTTTTCACGCGAAAAAAGAAGAAAAGAAAAAGAGTAAGAAAGAAAGACACAATATACAGTCTATTTTCCAGAAAGAATATTGCTCTACTATCGTAATGAGCCCTCTTTTAAATTAAAGTTACGAACGTCGGAATTTACATTAAATCGTTCTCATTTCATATGTATGGATATATATGTTTGAATAACCACCTGTTTTTTTAACAGCTTGAATTGAATCTAACGACCTGTGTCACTGGGAAACAATGATTTGATTTACTGCTCCTTTCGAACCTGACAGAAGGTCCGATATATGTAATTCAAAATGTAAAAAAAAAACAAACAAACCAAAAACAAAAAAAAAAGAAGAAAAAAAAGCAGGTCGTATATAACAATATGTGTATCAATAAAACATATTTAAAATTACATTGATAATACATGTCATTGATTGGATCCTTTCAGATATGGAGAGTCTTATATGCAACCAAAATACATTCCAGCCCAGACGAAAGAGCCAACCCTAGTCGTTTCGATTATAAAACCCTTCCTAACTGGTAGGTCGCCGAAGGTACTTATTAATGGCCAGTCTTCCAGAGTCCTAGCGGTCAACGCAGGCGTCCCTCGAGAGTCACTCCTCGGATTAATATTATTTTTGATGTACATAAATGATCTGCCTAAGAATCTAGACAAATCATTTGTAAGCAACTATGCTGATGATACGACTATTATACGGGCGTACCTCTAAAACTCTTGATAGTCAGAGATTGGTGACTGATCTATCTTCCGTTCCTGCACAAACTACCCATTGGGGTAAAGTATAGATGGCGACATTCAATGACTCAAAGACCAAGCGAGTTAAACTCAATCATCGGCGATCTGACCACAAACTATCACCAATCAGGAAGACCAGAGGTCCTCTCGAGGAAGTACCGTGCCTCGAAAGACAGTTGGGCCTCAAACTCACACTCGACCTCAAGTGGAGATCGTAAATACGATCCATTGCTAAGGCTGCAGGTAAAATGGTCAGCTCTCTGTACCGCTGCAGTAAGTACTTGACTCTTCCTGCTATCCTCAAACTTTACAAGAGCCAGATAAGGCCAAAGATGGAGTTATGTTGTCATATTTAGGCGGGAGCTGGCCAGGTCTCACTCTTCAGCCTTGATAGAGTCCAGAAGCGTCTCCGAACCCTTATGGTTATCCACCCCACAACCTCTCTCCCACAGGCAGGATGTGGCAAACTTCTCACTATTCCACTACTTCTTCCACGGGAAGTGCTCGCGCGAACTACATTCCCTGGTCTGGCAAAGTCCAACCGTCACAGCAAAAACACGCCATGCCACTTACATAGTAGTAAACCACCTACATTACCTCCGTGTTCCATCGGTGAGAAGTAAGTTCCACTCGAGCAGCAGCTTCTCGCGAACCACTTCCCTGTGGAACCGACTCCCAACAGGATATTTCCCCGATCACTACATTCTTAACTTGTTCAAGGCTAAGGTTAACCGTTATCTTCCACTCCTGTACACACAAATGACCTTCTAACCCCTCTACCTCGAGTAGCTACAGGGCCTTGTAAAGTGAACCATACTGTAATATATATATATATATATATATATATATATATATATATATATATATATATATATATATATATATATATATATATATATATATATCCGATACAATGAGTACGAAAAATAAATATATAAATTCTAGCGTTTACAGCATTAATCCAAAAGAGTGCTCGATACCGAGAGTAGAGCGATAATTATTTATTATAATTTTATCGTATAGACAATAACAGTTTACTCACTACAATGATGCAACATCCTTTCGGTGCATTTCAACTGCACCTCGACGGGTGAGAACCGCGAAAATTTTTTGGTTCTCATCCGTCGAGGCAGTTGAAATGCACCGAAACGATGTTACATCATTAAGTAAAATTATTGATAAAATATATATATATATATATATATATATATATATATATATATATATATATATATATAAAATATCTGGTGCAGTTCAATTTATATTACAATGAATCAATCATACAAAAAGTAAATTACTAAAGTTAATGATATAAAATGGCGAAATCCCTTCGCTAACAAAATTTTAAAGATGCATACCAATCACTCGATGAACGTTATGACCCTTGTTTATTTAAAATTATCGACTGTATTAGGTGTTCCGCAGGTAATTTCGACTGTACATTCATTCATCTTCAGGTATGGAAATTATTCTGTTTTTGGTAAAATTCTGGTAGCATCCGGGACGAAAAAGTATAATGCGAATCAATGTATGTTTTTTTTTTTTTAATGTGTTATTGATAACCTTAGTGTTGCGAGTGAACGCCCCACAAGTTTGTATCCGTTATCAATAGCACATTTAAAAAAAATATTTCGATTTGCATTATTGCATTAAACTTCGAAAAAAAAAACAAACAAAAAAAAATGATTTACTTTAATACTAAAATAAAGTAAATCGAGTAAATCAATTTTTGTTCGAAATTTTTAAAAATTAAAAAAAAAATTTTTTTCCAATTTTATTCTCAGCATCGCTTGAAAATGGAACTGAGCTTCAAATTTTAAGGTCAAGTTTTGATTTTGAAACATTGTAATATATATATATATATATATATATATATATATATATATATATATATATATATATAGGTAAATATACCCGTTTCGAAAAACCTTCAATTTTTGATTTGCCAATAATCAAATCAAAAATTCGAAGGAAAAAAAAAGGTTTAAAAAAAAAAAGAAAGAGCTAGAAACATGAAAAAATCGCACAGATACAGGTTTAAAGCCCAAAGAAAAAATCCCGGCACGAGTTCCTGACTTAGGTGAAACCTGGGTAGGTTTGTCTGGCTCACTTGGTTTGACTATATATATATATATATATATATATATATATACACACACACACACACAGACATATATATATATATATATATATATATATATATATCACGCTCATCACTAGAAAAGTAAGTAATAGTCATGTTATCATATTTGCCATATTTATAATGAAGCGACAAAGAATTACATTTTGATTGATGTAGTAAATCTTTTTTGAAAAAAAAATTCTCTTGCGAACAGCAATAACAAAGATGATCGGAGTAATTCTTTTGTGAAGACGAAAGGAAAGAATGAATGAATTAAGTTATCGAAACGACCGTCTTATTTTCAATGAGCGGGAAGCCAATTACAATTTTAATAAGGTGAAATGCTTCGTCGCATAAGAGGCAAATGGGATACAATGAAAGAACCTTGTAAGACGTTATGCATACGGACAAGTCCAATCTTGTGACGACATAAAAAAAAAAATGAATAAGTTTCAAGTCTCTTTTAAGCGATTATTTCTTGGGAGAATTTCAAAATTGATTTTCAATTTGCTTTTAATTCCCATGAATATGGCAAGCGAATATGAAAAGCGAACTGAACGGTTGACGATTTGAATGTACAGAAAGGTTTTGAATTTTTATATTAATAAATGCGTCATAAAAAAACAAACAAACTAAAGGACAAGAAACTGCTGTGAGAATATGAATTCATATCAACTAATTAATGTACGAATATAATCCAAAGTCCCGACAATATTAATATCTTAAATATGGAAAGATCAAAAACTGATCTTTATTTTCTATAATCAGTCAAAGTGATAAGGAAAACAAAAGATCAAGGAAAATTGACTTCGATCAAAGATTCGTTCGTTTTTGACCTATTTATCTTTAAATTCTCTTTTTTCTTTTCTTTTTTCTATCACTCTACTGTTCATTCATTCATTCTTTCTTTCTTTCTTTCTTTCTTTCTTTCCTTGTAACTCGTTTCTATTTTTTCGACCTTTCCTTGCATCTCTTTACGCTCTTTCTCCTTTCTTTGTATATATTTCCTGTTCTTTCTTTGTTTTTTGCTTGCATTTTCTTTCTTTCTTTCTTTCTTTCCTTTTTTCCTCTCAGTTTAATATTCCTTATTCCGCGTATTCTCCACGTATTCTTTCTTTCTTTCTTTCTTTCTTTCTTTCTTTCTTTGAATGGCCTTTCTTATTCTTTTTTCTTTGAATATCTTTCTTTCTTTCTTTCTTTCTTTCTTTCTTTCTTTCTTTCTTTCTTTACTTCTTTCTTTCTTTCTTTGAATGGCCTTTCTTATTCTTTTTTCTTTGAATATCTTTCTTTCTTTCTTTCTTTCTTTCTTTCTTTCTTTCTTTCTTTCTTTCTTTTTTTCCTCTCAGTTTAATATTCCTTTCTCCGCGTATTCTCCACGTATTCTTTCTTTCTTTCTTTCTTTCTTTCTTTCTTTCTTTGAATGGCCTTTCTTATTCTTTTTTCTTTGAATATCTTTCTTTCTTTCTTTCTTTCTTTCTTTCTTTCTTTCTTTCTTTCTTTCTTTCTTTCTGTCTTTCTTTCTGTCTTTGAATGGCCTTTCTTATTCTTTTTTCTTTGAATATCTTTCTTTCTTTCTTCCTTTCTTTCTTTCTTTCTTTCTTTCTTTCTTTCTTTCTTTCTTTCTTTCTTTCTTTCTTTTTTTCCTCTCAGTTTAATATTCCTTTCTCCGCGTATTCTCCACGTATTCTTTCTTTCTTTCTTTCTTTCTTTCTTTGAATGGCCTTTCTTATTCTTTTTCTTTGAATATCTTTCTTTCTTTCTTTCTTTCTTTCTTTCTTTCTTTCTTTCTTTCTTTCTTTACTTCTTTCTTTCTTTCTTTGAATGGCCTTTCTTATTCTTTTTTCTTTGAATATCTTTCTTTCTTTCTTCCTTTCTTTCTTTCTTTCTTTCTTTCTTTCTTTCTTTCTTTGAATGGCCTTTCCTTTTCTTTTTTCTTTGAATATCTTTCTTTCTTTCTTTCTTTCTTTCTTTCTTTCTTTCTTTCTTTCTTTGAATGGCCTTTCCTTTTCTTTTTTCTTTGAATATCTTTCTTTCTTTCTTTCTTTCTTTCTTTCTTTCTTTCTTTGAATGGCCTTTCTTATTCTTTTTTCTTTGAATATCTTTCTTTCTTTCTTTCTTTCTTCCTTCCTTTCTTTCTTTCTTTCTTTCTTTCTTTGAATGGCCTTTCTTATTCTTTTTTCTTTGAATATCTTTCTTTCTTTCTTCCTTCCTTTCTTCCTTTCTTTCTTTCTTTCTTTCTTTCTTTCTTTCTTTCTTTGAATGGCCTTTCTTATTCTTTTTTCTTTGAATATCTTTCTTTCTTTCTTCCTTTCTTTCTTTCTTTCTTTCTTTCTTTCTTTCTTTCTTTCTTTCTTTCTTTGAATGGCCTTTCTTATTCTTTTTTCTTTGAATATCTTTCTTTCTTCCTTTCTTTCTTTCTTTCTTTCTTTCTTTCTTTCTTTCTTTCTTTCTTTCTTTCTTTGAATGGCCTCTCCTTTTCTTTTTTCTTTGAATATCTTTCTTTCTTTCTTTCTTTCTTTCTTTGAATGGCCTTTCTTATTCTTTTTTCTTTGAATATCTTTCTTTCTTTCTTTCTTTCTTCCTTTCTTTCTTTCTTTCTTTCTTTCTTACTTTCTTTGAATGGCCTTTCCTTTTCTTTTTCTTGGCTTCACTTTGTTTGTTTCTTTCTTTCTTTGAATGGCCTTTCCTATTCTTTTTTCTTTGTAGATCTTTCTTTCTTTCTTTGAATGGCCTTTCCTATTTTTTCTTTGTATATCTTTCTTTCTTTCTTTTTTTTGAATGGTCTTTCTTATTCTTTTTTCTTTGCATATTTTTCTTTCTTTCTTTCTTTCTTTGAATGGCCATTCCTATTTTTCTTTGTATATCTTTCTTTCTTTCTTTTTTTGTTAAATGGCCTTTCCTTTTCTTTTTTTGCATCTTTCTTTCTTTATTTATTTATTTGAAGGACCTTTCTTATTCTTCCTCATTTGCATATCATTCTCTTTCTTTCTTTCTTTCTTTCTTTGAATGGCCTTTCCTTTTCTTTTTCTTGGCTTCACTTTGTTTGTTTGTTTCTTTCTTTCTTTGAATGGCCTTTCCTATTCTTTTTTCTTTGCAGTTCTTTCTTTCTTTCTTTCTTTTTTTGAATGGTCTTTCTTATTCTTTTTTCTTTACATATTTTTGTTTGTTTGTTTGTTTCTTTCTTTTTTCTTTCTTTCTTTCTTTCTTTCTTTCTTTCTTTGAATGGCCTTTCCTATTTTTTTGTATATCTCTCTTTCTTTTTTTCGTTAAATGGCCTTTCCTTTTCTTTTTTTGCATCTTTCTTTCTTTATTTATTTATTTGAAGGACCTTTCTTATTCTTCCTCATTTGCATATCATTCTTCTCTCTCTCTCTCTTTCTTTCTTTCTTTCTTTCTTTCTTTCTTTCTTTTGTACACATCCCTGTTGTATCCTTCTCTATTATTTCTTCTTTCTTTTCATTCTTTCATTATTATTCTATTTTTTTGAAAATTTTCTTTTGTCTCTTCTTTTTACCTATTTTTTTTCTTTTTGGACCGCATCTTTTAGAACGGATAATTTGATAAATACCCTTTTAGAAAATTTCTTCTTGTTTGTCTATTTTTCGTTTTTTTATTGCACTTCGTAAAGATATTTTAAATAATCTTTTCTTAGTTTTGTGCACGCAAATTACAGATTGGAGATAACAGAATGAAACAAGTACAAAAATTTAAATATCTGCGAAGTGCTTTAACAGAGAACGGAAAGTGCGGGACTGAAATCCTAAGTCGTATTGGGATAACGAAAGATGCCTTCCAAAAGCTAAGCAAAGTATTACGAAATGAAAAAAAAAAAAACAAAAAACAAAAACAAAAAAAAAACAAAACTCGCTCCAAACAAAGTAAAGAGTACTGTACTGTTTTGTAATATCAGTGCTCCTATATGCCAGTGAATGCTGTACAATCTCCCCACAGATGGAAGATGAGACGTGATGCAACAGAAATGTGATTCTACAGACGGATGCTGAGAATACTATAGATCGAACATGTGAGCAACGAGAAAGTTTTAGAGAAAATGAAAACAAAAAAGATACATAATTTGCATCACGAAGAGGAATTTAAAATTTTGAGGGTATCTAACGAGGAAAGAGGGCTTGGAAAATTTCATACACACAAGATAGATTGAAAGCAAGAGGGACAGAGAAAAACAACGCATAACCTACTTAGTGAGCTTGAATAAATGGATGGCAGAGCAAAGTTTGGGAGAGATAACAAAAAGATTAAACGTATTAAGAGCGACAAAGTAGAGGAAATTGTGGAGAGCCATGATCATCAACGTTCTGAAGAAGAAGAAGAAGAAGAAGAAGAAGAAGAAGAAGAAGAAGAAAACAACAAGCTGATTTACTAGAGCCATCCAGTACCAGACAAAGATTAGCTCCGTAAATATCCAGGAACTCTTTTAATAAATAGATCTTTTTAAGCCGATGTTGCTTATCGTTTTGTATAATAGTGAATTTCATCCTTTCTGGGTACTTTACCTGTGCTATTCAATGTGAAATTTCATTTCAGTGAGGTAACATTTGCTAAGAGCTGCACGTAGTCCGAACTTTAATTGCGTTCGATTTTATCTTCTCTCATTGCGAAAGAAAGATGATCCATTTGCGCCATGACATTTATCTCTGAGACTACTTTCTGGAAGTACGATTTCTTTTGGAGAAAGATAGATCTTGTAGAACGTGATTCTTGCATTTATTAAAGTTCACCAGATATAAGGCTCGATAGCCACTTTAGGTAGTGGTTACTGAATACTGTTTATATTATAAATAAAGAGTGCTGAAGACTACGAGTAGAAAGAGGGCACATATGGAGTAACTACTGACATAAGTGGTTATGGTTGTAGTGTTCAGGGAGGTACAAACGCGGGAGTTTGTTTAAGACTTCTTCCTTACAATTGGAATACGCAAGAAATAAAGGTGTTTCATGTTTCGATTTCTTACACATGGCAAGGCGTTTCAAAATTGTAAATATTTGTGGCGAACGCGCTTCATTGAAGACGCAAAAGAGACCCCGAGTCGCTTGCGGTCATGTCTGTGTAAACTAGCTACACCCAATTTTCTCCGTTGGCAGCGAAGCAGCTTGGCATATCTAGATACGGACCTCTCTGCAATCTGTCCAGATCTGGGTCTTTGTCAGGTGTCTCATGCCAATAAAAGCAACGAGAAAACCAGCAGTCAGCGAGATTCGGTGTCTTCTGAAGTCGTTCAAGAGAACGACTTCAGAAGACACCGAATCTCGCATTTTGTTCCTAAATTTGAGTGCCGCCCGCCGTGCTATTGTTCCTGAGTCGGTGTTGTTTGGTTTCCTTCCGTCTCTTTCCCTTCTCTACCTGTTACCCCGTAATTCTTGGAAGAGCGGTCGCTTTGGCGTTTTCCCCCAACCTCAACGCACCCTTGGGGTAATTTTATAGCAATGTCTGAATTGGTTAAACTTAAAAATTGAGCTCATCTAGACATTTGTGCTGACCAATGATAACACGTGACTTAATTTATCATATTCAATATTACATTTCATTTCAGTTACTGACTTTGTCATTTATTCTCGTCCAATGTGTGTGCGTGCGCGTGTGATTCTACGGCACTCATTCGGACGTGGCTCTTACATTCTCGGCTGTGATATCTGAGAGATTCTGATTTTGCTGCCTCTTGGTTCGTTTTTTTTATATTCAGTTGTCCAACTGTTTTCCCATATGTCAGGTTCCCCTGTGCTCGTCTGTCCAGGTGGCCACTGACAATTTATCAAGTAATGGGACAATATACACTTGTTCTGTAGGAACGAATACGAACCAGAATCACAAAAGCCAAAAAAAGAAAAGAAAATAACATCGGAACCTACGCATAGGATACCCTAGATAGCCAAATGTAAGGAATACCTGAAGATGGTCAGTTGGTACTTAGTCGGAACGTCATGTCTATAGCACTAAATGATGAAAATTATTGTTCAAATAAGTTTGTTTTGTTTGTGTGTTTTACAGCATATCAACTTCAATGGGTTATTTAATCCCGACAACATTTTTAGGATAGATTCGTATGAATAGAATATATATTCTTTGGTTTAGATTGGTTGGGTTTATTTTGTTTTACGGCATATCAACCTCAATGGGTTATTTAATGCCGACAACATTTTTCGGATGGATTCGTATGAATAAAATATGTATTCTTTGGTTTAGATTGGTTTGGTTTATTTTGTTTTACGGCATATCAACCTCAATGGGTTATTTAATTCCGACAACATTTTTAGGATAGATTCGTATGAATAGAATATGTATTCTTTGGTTTAGATTGGTTTGGTTTATTTTGTTTTACGGCATATCAACCT